AATCTTGACTCATCTGTAAAAAGTACATTACTCCATTCGTCCATAGTCCAATGGCTGTGTTCTCGAGTAAAAGCCAGCCGTGTTACTCTGTGAGTTCTGGTCAACTCTGTTCCTCTTACTGGACGAAAAGCCATTAATCCATACTCATTTAATCTTCTCCGAGCGGTACATTCAGAAATTTGCACACCTCGAACTTCTTCAAGCTGATGAATCGCTTGAACAACGGTAAGATGCCGGTTTCGTAAAATTCTCAAAGTCAAAAACCGGTCATCCCGTGGTTCTGTTACCCTAGGCCATCCAGAACCGGGCCTTCTATTGTAAGAACCAGTTTCCCGAAAATGCCTGATGGCGTCTCGTAAAGTTTCATATGGAACTCCGATGGCATTAGCTGCATATCTAATGGAATGTCCATCATCAATAAGTGCCACACCACGTACAACATCCTCAGCACTAAGAGGCATTTTTAAACTTAATATTGAAAAAATTAAAAGCCGGAGACTTCGAAACGTGCTGTAAGAAACGACACTGAACTAATGATACTGAATAAACATTTTGATTCCATAGAAAGTAAACATTGGAATCTAGAATCATTTCATTGAATTAAGAATTAAGGGTTATTGTCCTCTATATTGACATTCCTAATTGAAAACAAACAAAAAGATTACCTATTTATTCATTAAAAACAATAGACCAATCCAAAGCAGAAATATTTTTAGATGAAAACATGAAAAAATCAAGTGGGTGGAATTTTTTGCCAGTGTATAATATTCCCATTTAGTCTATATAATATTGTTTCTTAACTTATATAGGATCTACAATTCCTATTAAAATTAAAATCATTCAAGTGCAAAATGTTGTAGAGCTAACTTAAACATGAAGTCAAATTAATTAAAAAATAAAATTTTTCTTATAGTTGTCTGTCAGGTAATTATGGAAGATTAAAGGCAAATTTGCGAATCATATGTTAAGTATGTTCTTATCGTGTTCATTTGTGGAAATCATTGAAACTTAAAGTTTATGTTTTATACATTTATATAATAATTTAAGTTACTGAACAAAAATTCTTAAAAGTAATAAATGAATAATTAAAATAATTCAGTGGCTTCAAAATAAAAACATATTTTCATTTACTTCTTCCATTTTGACTTTTTTTTTTTTAAGTTAAAAATTAAAAATATTTAATAGAAAACTATCTTGAGTTATATATAACTCCCAATGTAACCATGTATAATTTATTTTTCATATCTACCCATCTGCAAATAAATATGATGACAGATAATCAATTGGACAGTTAGAAACTGTTTTGCTGACTTCTATTCTAGAATTACAGCATTAAAAGACAGAGCTATGATGGCACATGAGGAGTACATTCTCCTTACTAAGCCTGTGTTTTGTTACAGAAAATATTGTTCACTGTCTGTTACATATCTGAACTCACAGTAGCTTCAAATGACACTAAACTAACAGACTAATAGACAATGTGTCACTTTTGACTTTCAAATCTTTCATCAGGATGTTTTGGGTATGAAACTTTTGACTGTCAAGTTTGTGCCAAAGGTATTGAATTCTGAGCAAAAGCTGGGATGAATGGAAATTCAGTAGTCACTAAAGTCGCTAAATGAAGTCAACAACAATGCAGAACTTTAGAAAGGCATCATAACAGGTGAACAAAACAGGTTTAGCTTTGGAACAAAGGTATATTGTCCCATTGGAGACATTCTGGATCACTAAGATCGGAAAAAAGCTTAGTAAGTGAGGTCTGGTTTGAAGGTTATGCTCACTGTTATCTTTGATTTTAATGAGATAGTGTGCCATGAGTTTTTGCCAAAAGGTCAAACTATCAATAAAGAGTACTACTTACAAATTCTATGTCGTTTGTGGCAAAATAATACATGGCTTTTCACCGTGATAATGAACCTGCCCACACTTTATTGCTTGTGAATTTTTGTTAAAAACCAACTCTGTAGTGATGATTCAGTATCCATATTCGCCTGATTAGCCTCTTATAACTTCTTCCTCTATGCAAAAATAACTACAACCTCAAACAGCCTTCTTTTTTCAAGCATAGATAAGATTAAAAGTGCATCACTGAAGGAGCTAAATGTTATCCCAAAGATCGAGTTTCAGACATGTTTCGGGGACTAGGAGAAGTGCTGGTTTAAGTATATAATATCCAATGGGGACTACTTTGAATATGATAATATTGTTTTAGATGAATAAATAAAATTGTTTTCAAAAAAATGAAAATTCCTATTACCCCTTATGCTCTTTTAAGTTTTATAAGCTCATATGTTATTTCAATAAGACTAATGTAAAAACTATAAACTCATGTAAGTCTATAAAACTATTAAATTGTTAAAGTTCAAGATTAATATAACCATTATGAATTGTATGCCACTATCAATAAACAATTTTAAGATTTAATATAAACCATCCGAACCCTCTCGTTTCAAACCTTGCTTCCTCTTCGATACCTGATACCCCTCCAAGGCATCTGAAAAGATGATACCCTCGTGATCTACTTATATAAATATATTATTAGAGTGCTACCAATGGGTAGTTTCTCAACAAGCATTTTCATGTGATTGTATTATTACCATGTGCACATTTACTGAATGTATTTTTAATTTATACAGTTGTAAATCTGAATTAAATGAAAAGATTTAATATATCAATCATAAGTTTCACACAGAATATTTGTGTTTTGGATTCCATTTCAACTAATGAGTAACTATTGAAGTGATATAGTAATATATTATTTGGTTCCCTCTGGCTTGAATACGTTAATAAAAAAAAACTACTATAAATCTGTATGCAACCGTTAAAGCTCGTCTAGCAGAAAGGAAAACTTAACATGTTTATTCCAGATTTAAACTGAAGGGATTAAAACAATTTACTCCCCAACCTATTAACACTGTTACTATTTTTTAAGTCCCCAAAACACCACATGATGAATACACACTTTTTCACTCTCAATTTCAGAGATTAAGAAACAGTTAAATGTAACATGCAGCACACAAATCAGTTGTCAGAGATCTAATTGAACATTCATATTTTTAGTGAAAGCAAAATCTTATTATCTCGCTGACTCAGAGTGGGTAGATGTGAATAACCAATTTTCGGTAGTTGAACTAAAAATAGTGTCGTCCCGTTCTCTCATTAAGTTTTCTACTTTAAATTTAAATATATAATAATACTATTATATGGTTGTTATTTCTTCTGTTGATCTAAAATTGTTAGTTTATAGTATAATTACACCATATATATGTTTATTGTATTTTACCACTTTAATGATAGGTTACCAGGCTAAATTAGTGCCAATGTTTGATTTGAAATTGACCAAGTAAAATAATTTTTAATCAATTTTCCTGGTTATAGCTAATGTTTTGTAACACTGAAATTCCCACTAATAATAATCTATATCACTTTCATTGTTATTATGACAATGCTTCAATCTGGTTACTGGTCTCGGTCTTCTTCAACCCCTTTCTTCAATCATATCAATCTTTTGTCATCCAATCCCTGTCTCCTAGGATATACTTAGCATCTTCTACCACAACATCTGACAACTTTAGTCAGCTTTGGTGTCACTCTATTTCTTTTTTTGTATGAATTGACTGTGTTAGTAGTATTTTCAACATTTCTCCATCCTCCATCCTGGTGATATGGTCTGCTTATCTTAAACACCACAAGTTCATTATTCTAACGATACCAGCCTTCCCAAAGGTGTATAGCTTCTAGTTAGTGTGTCACTTCCATTCTTCTCCAATTTTTACTCTCCTGAAACTCAGTGGAGAACTTCTTGTTCAAAAATCAAAAGTTTCTGTTCTGTGATCTAGGATATTGTCCAATCCATACAGAACTACAGTACATATCAAGTTTTTGTAAAGATGGAGTCTGCCTAAAAAATATCTCCCTTTTCAGCTGTTTCCTTGGTCCTCAAAAGCATTGATTGGCTATGGTTATTCTTCTAATCAAAACCTTGCGTTCACTATCATGGTTGATTACAGATTCCTGGTAAAGAAACTTTGGAACCCTTTTTAATTTGAGGCCCAATAGTTACTTCCTCATCTGAGTTCGGAATCTCCTCTGTGACGATGACTTGGTTTTGTACCCATTAACTTCTTCTCCAAGTGTAATGACTGGGCCTTCCAGTGGCAGAAGACCCTCAGTCATGCCTTGTAGGGAGTGACCCACCATCTCTGCAATATCTGCATTGGTCAAATAATGGACAAGTTTACTAAATATGTTTCATTTTTCTCATCTGCAGAACCCCCTGTCTTTTGTAGGCTTCTTAAGTGACAGATTATACAATAACAGTGCTATTATATTATACAATACAGGTGCCGGTCAGTGCACCCCCTTGCCAGAGTCCTTTTCATGTACGAAATTCCTTGGATCTTTTGTGATTTTTCTGACTGCACCCTTACAGTGAGCTTTATAAAATGTATGAATTACTCAGGTGTATTGAATTCTCTGAGGGAACTATACAATCCTCCACATATTTTACTGTAATACACTGTTTCATAGTCCATGAGATGGTGAGTTCTGTTTTATAATCACACCCTCTTTCAGTAATGGTTTATACATGGAATGTTTGGTCCAATCTTGATGTTACTCTTCTAAAGCCACATATGTACAAACTATGGTCACTTTCGGTAAAATTTTCTTCAAAGATTTAAAATTTATGAGAAAAAAAATTGGTATAGATTTTTTTAATATAGAAGTTTTATTATTAGGTTTAACTCTATTAAATATTTTTGCCGATTTTTTGAATATTATCATTTGATTTAATTTTTTTTTTCTATGATATTTTAATAATTATTTCATTAAATTAACGTGAAACTTTTCTGAATTTTGTCATAAAACTCCAATTTAATTTAATCATATTATATAATGACAAGTAAACTATGAGATAGATTGTAGTTCTCTTCCTAGCAAATAATGCGAACTATGAGTTGATGGTCAACCTGTTTTATGTCATTAAATTTTTTTTTCAGGCTATATGTGCTTTTTTTGTCCTGGCATACACTCATATCATCTTCTCAAGGACACCTTCAATATGTTTGGAACATGTAAGAAACACTTGGCCTAGAGATGGAATTTTACGTGTCGAAATCGTCAAAGGAAGTGGGGGTAATGTTAATTTTTATAGCAGTTTTTCAGAAGAAGAGGAACATGTAATTGTAATCAATAAGGCTGAATCCGCTATAAATAATTTTCCTAATAGGTTAGTGTTCATTTCATATATATATAGTTGTGGCTATTTTATTTATTTTGTATTGTGTGTATTCACTTTTCAAGAAATTAATAATGTATTTTTTTTGTTTATCATATTAAGATGAATTTTGTATATTTCATCATATTTTATTAATAAATTGATTATGATATTTGCAATATTCAATCCCACAGTTTTAGAAATAAACACACACACACAAAAAAAAAAAGGTTACCATGCAATTGCATCTGTTTATCAACTATTCATAAATTGATGAAAATAAGTTATTCATCTTTGTCAAATAGGTTTTTAACATAGTTTTATGGTGGACAATATTGCATGTTTAGTGTTGATTTGCTGAAATTATTTTTTTTTTTTGCACGAAATTGCAAGTTTAATATAAAATATGAAAAAGTTAAAAATAATAATATTTTAATGCGTTGACGAGTTCCCTTGATGAAGAAAACTAATGCTAAATTTTCAAAACAACCCTTCCAAAATTTTCCTATTTGAGCCCTAAAAGAAAAATAGCTGTTATGCAAGCAAGAACATGACAAGACAAGGTGATTTTATTACATGACAATGGTTGGCCACATGTTGCAAAACCGGTAAAAACCCACCTGAAAATGCTTTAATGGGAAATTCTACCCCACCAGCCATATTCACCGGATATAGCCCCTACCAATTATCACTTATTTCATTGGCCACCAGGCTGAGCAGCACTTCCATTCTTATGAAAATACCAAAAAGTAGGTATATTCTTGGATAGCCTTAAAAGACTAGTCATTTTTCTGATGTGGAATTCGTATGCTGCCAGAAATGTGGTAGAAAGTCCTGGCTAGTGATGGACAATACTTCACGTGACATGTTTTTACCACTTACTTTAAAAAAGTTAATAAATTAATTTTTTTTAAAAAGTGAAAACTTATCCAAGGTCTTATTAATATATCACCTAATAATTACATTCATTACAAAAAAATAAATGAAGAATATATGAACCCCTTAAATGAATAAATAGATAGAGATTTAATAGAACTAAAGAAAATTTTCACATATTTGTTCACATGTTTCTGATGAACATATTAAAAAGCTTATTACTTTTTGTATGGTTGGGTAGCTCAGTGGATTAAGTTCTGGACTCTTAATTTCTGTTCCTGGTTCAAGTCAGGCTGTCTCAGATAATTATTTATTCTGTTCTTTCACCTTTGGATCAATCTTGGGGTCGGTAAATTTTTCTGGGTTACACCTTGCCCCTATAAACTGGTTACCCTTAATTGGATAAAAAATTTGGTGGTTGAGCATAATCTCTGAGAGCTCTACTACCTGCATAACCGTTGTTCAGGAAAAAGTATATTCTTTCTAAATACTGAGCCTAAAACCCTTCATGGGTTTTAAGAGTTCAATTTTGATTTTTGGAATAAATATAATTGCTGTTAATTTTAAGTAAATAGTTACTTGTTTATATATAGCATTTCCAAGTCAATTTCAACCTTTTCCAAATCAAATTCAACCTTTTCCAAGTCAAATTAAACCTTTTCCATTTCAAATTCAACCTTTTCCAAGTCAAATTCAACCTTTTCCATTTCAAATTCAACTTTCGAATTTTTGTCAATTTTCGATTTTTTTCGAAATGAAGGCCACTTACTATATTATCGAAGGCATAGCTTTTGAAAAATACAAAAAAAAAATTTGATAACGCGGTTGCATATCCATTTATTTTAACATTTTAGATTTTTTCAGTGTGATATTTCTATGTCATATTCAATTATTTCCAAGTCAAATTCAACCTTTTCCAAGTCAAATTCAAACTTTTCCAGATCAAATTAAACTTTTTCCAAGTCAAATTCAACCATTTCCATTTCAAATTAAACCTTTTCCAATTCAAATTCAACCGTTTTCATTTCAAATTAATGTTTTAATTTTTTGTAAATTTTATATATTTTTTTAAAATAATGGCCATCCCCTCCCCCCTCCAATATGAAAGTCTATTATTATGCTCTCCTAAGTAGAATTTTCACTTACGGATATCGATTTATTGTACCTATTCGGATTTATTAGGGACTAGTATTATGCTGTCCTGTACCTAGTTTTGAAAATAACCTCCATTTTAAGATTACGTGACTGCGTTTCGAATCATTTAAGTTTTTTTGACTTATTCGATATAAGGGTGTATTTTTATGTTTTCCGATCAGTAAATTTTGAAAATGACATTCATTTTATGTTTACGCCACTGTGTTTTGACTTATTTAAGTTTTTCGATTTTTTCATATGAGGGTGTATTCTCATGTTTCCGGAGCCGTATATTTTGAAAACGACCTCCATTTTAAGATTAGGCCACCGCATTTCGATTTCTTTAAGTGTTTCGAATTTTTATCATAAAAGAGTGTATTCTTATGTTTCCGGAGTCATAGATTTTGAAAATGACTTCCATTTTAAGACTACGCCACTGCGTTTCGGCTTATTCAAGTTTTTCGAATTTATCCAATTTAAAGGTCTACTTTTATGATGCTGGAGCCTTAGTTTTTAAAACGACTTACATTTTAAGATTAGGCCACTGTGTTTCGGTTTTTTTAAGTGTTTTTGATTTTTCCTTCGAATAAAAAACAAAATACGAAGGATTAATTTATTTTTCAATAAATAAATAAAAATATCTAATCAAAATAAATAAAATATGTATTGTCTCATTTTCAATTTAATTTTAGTTATCTTTTTTAATGTTGTGGTCTCCTGTCACAAAATTATAAGATTTCGAACAATTAGCTGAAAAATCTGAATACGGAAGGTTAAATTTATTACCAGTTGCTTTTCGGCTTTTTAGTTTGTATTATGTGGTTAATTTAACTTTAGCTTCATAATATTTGTTTATTTATTTATTTATTCATACTCGATAACATATTGATGAAACTTTGTATTGAAAAAATCCAAAATGAAGCCTAATTAATCGAGATACAGTGGCTTAATCATACAATGGTGCTTAAATATTAAAGATTAGAAAAATTTCAATACGTCTCGGATAACATATAAGTAGATCCTTATACCGAAAAAGTAAAAAAAAAACTTTTATAATCCAAAACACAGTGGCATAAACTTGAAATTGGGTCATTTACAAAATGGGGGAAATCTACAGCTCCAGAAACATAAAATTAGACCTTTATACTTGTTAAATTAAAAAAACTTAAATAAGTTGAAACGCAGTGGTGTAATCATAAAATAGAGGTCATTTTCAGAATCCACGGTTCCGAAAACATAAAAGTAGACCTTTAAATTGGATAAATTCGAAAAACTTAAATAAGTCAAAATGCAATGGCGTATTCATGAAATGGAGGTCATTTTCAAAATCTACAGCTCCGGAAACATAAAAATACACCCTTACATCGAATAAATAAAAAAAACTTGAATAAGTCGAAACGCAGTGGCGTAATCTTAAAATGGAGGTCATTTTCAAAATCTACAGCTCCGGAAACATAAAAATACACCCTCATATGAAAAATATCCGAAAAAAACTCAAATAAGTCGAAACGCGGTGGCCTAATCTTAAAATGGAGGTCGTTTTCAAAATCTACGGCTCCGGAAACATAAAAGTAGACCTTTATATTGGATAAATTCTAAAAACTTAAATAAATCAAAACACAGTGGTGTAAACATAAAATGGATGTCATTTTAAAAATTTACTGATCTGTAAACATAAAAATACACCCTTATATCGAATAAGTAAAAAAAAACTTAAATGATTCGAAACGCAGTCACGTAATCTTAAAAAGGAGGTTATTTTCAAAAACTAGTTCTGCGCATGCGTTAACCCTACACATACACTCTTTATTTCGTCTCTTATAAAGTGACTTTATTATCAGTGAAATAATTCATGTTATTTGTGAAAAAGTAGTGTGAACTGTTAAGTTAACAATTAAGTTGAAACTGGACATAAATAAGGTGAGTAATCACTTATTTATAACGGCATTGTGAACAATGTAAATAGACCTGAGGATAGTGATAGATAACAAGCCGGCCATATACATTCGCTAATCCGACCAGTGGGCTGCTGCCCTTCGGCGGAAGCACATCTACGTTTCTCAGAATTCCACAAATTCGCGTAATATATACGTAATTGATAAAAGACTTTTTTTTACAAATTATTACATTTACCTCTAATTAATTAACATGAGATGCGATATTTTCACATGGTAATGTCGAGCAAAGGTAGCAATCGAACTTTAAGATCTAGGAGTCTAGATACCACAAAGAGTTCACCTATCAAGAAAAGGGCTAGACGCTCTAAAAAAAATACCCCACCAGCTACACCAGAGAGCTCAGTTGACGAAGTCGAAAATCAACCTGGCACATCATCACAAAATATGTCAACACAAGCTATATCAATACAAGGTACGTTAGAAGAATCGCCCTTTTTTACAGCTAATCCATTCCAAGTGTTGTCAAACACACAGAATGAACAAATGGAAGCAGTACCCATCCCTAGTGAACCTAAACCCCCACCAATATTCGTTAGAAACATAAAAAATTTTCAATTAATGTGTCTACAATTAAATAATATAGTGGGCTCAGGTAAATACTTATGCCAAAGCCGCATTAATGACACGAAATTAATGCCTGACGCCCCAGATACGTACAGAAAAATTGTCAAGTATTTATCTGACACTAAGGCGGATTATCACACATATCCGCTGCGCCAAGAGAGAGCGCTCAGGGTGGTGATCAGGAGATTACACCCATCAACACCACTGGATGCCATTAAAGAAGAACTAACTGAGATGGGGTTCCGTGTTCGCCAAATAGTGAATATATTCAAGGAAGATAGAGAACAGCCTGGCTCAAAAAATAAAATACCGCTCCCACTATTCTTCGTTGACCTTGACCGAACGCCCCAGGTCGAAGACATCTACAAGGTCACACGCCTTTACTGCACTAGCGTTGTTGTAGAAAAGCCCTACACTAAGCGCGACATTGTACAATGCCATAACTGCCAGGCTTATGGTCACGAAACGCTATTGCCACCACATTCCTAGATGTGTCCGGTGCGGTGATAAACATAAAACAGAGGACTGCCAGAAGTCCAGAAGAACACCAGCTGTATGCGCTTTATGCCATCAAGGGCACCCAGCGAACTACAAGGGTTGCCAAACATATAAGGAACTAAAAGCAAAAATTTATTCAGCTCCAAGAGAAGAACGGCCATCCAGGCCACCAAGACAACCCTCTAGAACTGTAAATACAAGAGTGTCCTATGCTCAGATATTCAAAGGAGATACTGCACCCACACAAACTCAGGCCCTGCCACAAGAACCTCAACCTCGAGTATTCACATCTCAACCTCAAGACCCTTATCCCATCTCTGAACCTAGGCCTAATAACCAGGCATTCATTCCTCCTCCTCCCAATGCCACTGACCTCACAAGCCTATTGACTTCTTTTCTCTCTGAATTCAGATCACTCATCACTCCTCTCATTTCCTTACTTACCAATGTTGTATCCAACCTCATCCCACTGCCGAGAAATCCTTAAATGTCCCCAATGAAATCCCTCTCCGTTCTCCTTTGGAATGCGAATGGTATTCGAAATCACATCAACGAGCTAACAATCTTATTACAGGACAAAAACATTGATGTAGCATTAATAACTGAAACTCGACTTACCAACAAACGACCACTTAACATCCCCAACTATGATATCTATCGAACCGACCATCCTGATGGAACAGCACATGCTGGCACTGCCATAATTATCCATCAATCCCTTTCCCATCACCTATTCCCTTTGCCGACCCATAATTCCCTATAATCCACTGCCGTGATAATCCAAACTTCTCCTTACCCAATAGCAGTAGTTGCAGCATACTCCCCGCCTAAAATACCTATCTCAGAATCCCAATTAACTTCCTTCCTTAACTCCTTAGGACACCACTTCCTTCTAGGTGCAGACTTAAATGCTAAACACCAGCAATGGGGAGCCAGAACCACAAATTCCAGAGGACGAACATTGCTATCTGCACTTAATTCCCATCACAGCAACATCCTCTCACCCAATTCTCCCACATACTGGCCAACAGATCCTAACCGCAATCCCGATCTCCTAGATTTTTTCATCCACAAAGGTCTAGGGTCCCTTAATTATAGCATTTCAAGACTTGATGATCTTTCCTCAGACCATAGTCCCCTAATCCTAACGGTCTCCACATCACCAATTCCCAAACCACCTCCACCTTCATTTATCAGGGGGCCAGTTAATTGGAACCTCTTCTGTCAAATACTGGATGATAATATTGACCTCAGAGTTTCCTTAAAAACACCTGCAGACCTAGATGAAGCAGTATATTCCATGACTACCTTGATCCAACAAGCAGTTTGGACTGCATCTTCACCTGATTCTTCTAAAAAATACCGCAAAATAAATCCTATACCCCAAGACCTACTGGACCTTATTAATAGGAAACGATGCTCTAGGGCCATCTGGCAAAGAACCAGGCATCCTGATGATCGGAAATCATATAACTATTATTCCAAGCAGGTAAAACAAAAACTGGCTACGTTTAGATCCCAATCGTATAATTCCTATCTTTCCTCACTATCTGCAAGTGATAACTCCCTCTGGAATGTAACAAAAAAAATCCTTAAATTCCAATCCATTTCCCACCCCCTCCGCCGTGATGATGGTTCCTGGGCTTCGTCAGATGAGAATAGAGCAGAAGAGTTTGCTAAACATCTATCGTACACATTCACTCCTCATCCTGAACTCCATCCCTCCCATACTGCTGAAGTTAAAGAATTCCTCTCTTCATCGATTCCTCTCTCCTTACCTCCTACAGCCGTCAACCCCTCTGAGGTCAAATTCCTTTTAAAGAACCTAAAACCTCGCAAATCTCCAGGACACGATCTCCTTACTTCCCAGATCCTCAGACAACTTCCCAAAAAAGCAATTATATTCCTTACATATCTATTCAACTGTATCCTCCGCACAACCCACTTTCCCCTGGTGTGGAAACACTCCATAATTATCCTCTTTCCTAAACCAAGTAAACCTGTTAATTATACATCATCCTATAGACCGATAAGCTTACTTCCGATCCTTTCCAAAATCTTTGAGAAAATCCTTCTCAAACGCATCCTACCCATACTCGAATCCCACAATATCCCTTCCCATCAGTTTGGATTCCGCTCAAGACACTCCACTGTCCAACAAGGCCTTCGCGTTGTGGACCACATATCCTCTGCACTTGAAAACAAGCAATATTGCACTGGTGCCTTTCTGGACGTAGCTCAAGCTTTCGACCGGGTGTGGCACGATGGCTTGCTTTTCAAGCTCAAAACCCATTTACCTCAACCCTTGTACCTAGTCCTCAAATCTTACCTTTCAAATCGCTCCTTTCAAGTCCGCTGCGGCACTGAACTCTCCAAACATTATCCAATTGAGGCTGGTGTTCCACAAGGCAGTGTCTTGGGCCCAGTTCTCTATATCCTTTTCACCGCTGACATCCCTTCAAGTCCTGATACCTTCCAAGCAACATTTGCTGATGATACTGCCATCCTATCCTCCCACTCGGATCCTCTAATAGCGTCCCAGAACCTGCAAAGACACCTTTCCTTCATTGAGCAGTGGTGCAACAACTGGCGCATCAAAATTAATGAATCAAAATGCAAGTATGTAACTTTCACTCTTCGACGCAGATCCTGTCCGCCAATCCTTTTTAATTCAATTCCTCTTCCCTACTCAGACACAGTCCGATACCTTGGCTTCCTTCTGGACAAAAGACTGACTTGGAACCCACATACGAGACTTAAAACACAAGAGCTTAACCGACGATTTGGTCAGCTATATAGACTACTAAACAGAAGATCTCATCTCTCAACAGAAAACAAATTATTAATCTACAAGACCATACTGAAACCTATCTGGACCTACGGACTTGAACTGTGGGGGACAACTAAATCATCGAATATCAAACGCATCCAATCCTTCCAGTCCAAAGTCCTTCGAACAATAGTCAATGCTCCATATTATGTCACGAACAAGACCCTACACCATGACCTTAACATCCCATATGTCCATGACATCATCCCATCCAGATTCTCCAACTTTCACCAGAACCTCATTCATCATCCCAATCCTCTAGCGCAATCCCTATCCAGCTCCGAGCATCCATACCATCCCCCTCGAAGGTTGAAACGGCAGTGGCCTCGAGATCTTTTGTAAATATGCCTTTGGAGTCCTGGCAATGGCCAGCTTCTCCACTCATGTCCTGAGCGTCTGTGGCTGTAGTGCCCTCTTTCAGTCTCCACTGGCTTCTAATACTAGTGATGCGACTGGAAAAGTGGCACTGGGATCTTCCGGAGTCTTGCTTTGCCTTCCGCGTGTGGAGGTAAAAGCCTGGCTCGGAGATTCTTGGGCAAATGTATATATTGTATATAGTTATGATTGTGTTTAGAAGTTTTTATTTTATTTTATTTTATTTTTTTTTTATTTTATTTTTTTTTATTTACCTTCTTCATCAGTATTATTTATTTACTTCTTATATTTATATTTATTTCTTTATTATTTGTATATATTGTATGAATGAGAACTTTTAGCCCTAATGCTTATAGCCCTCCAGCAGTGGCTGATTGTATTATTATTCAATAAATAGATTTAAAAAAAAAAAAAAAAAAAAAAATTTCAAAAACTACTCATACGATAACAGACCCACACATCGAAAAATTAAAGATAATTAAATAAATAAAAAAAGGTTGAATTTGAAATGGAAAAGGTTTGATTTGTAAATGGAAAAGGTTGAATTTGACTTGGAAAAAGTTTAATTTGATTTGGAAAAGGTTGAATTTGATTTGGAAAAGGTTGAAATTGACTTGGAAATGCTATAGAATCTCTCTCTATAACACTCTGAATTTTAAAATTAAATTTAAGTGTTTTCAACTTTTATTTTAGTGTAATTAATGTTGAATCTTCTACTGGTGATCCTATTCAAAGGGTGAAATTAAATGGACTTTTTCAAAATAATTCTAATTTTGAGCCAAATGAGGATAATGATGTAAGCAACAATACTAGTTATTTTCAAAGTAAGTATGGATTTTTTTAATGTTTGATATAGACCTGGGCACTCTTGAAATAATTTATTTCTGAAATAATTCACATGGTTATTCCACGAATGAATTATTTCGGGAATAACGGTTATTTCTGAAATAATATTTCAAACAGTCAACAAAATAATCTCGATGGAATAACTCTGAATTTATTTCTGAAATAATTATTTCACTATTTGAACATTCTTTGGAATAATGTAAATTATTTCGAAATGAATTATTTCTGAAATAAATTATTTCATAACTATTATTTCAGGATTATTTATTTCATAAATAAATTATTGCATAAAATCAAGAAATAAATATTTCAGAAATAACATTTTTCTGAAATAACATAAAAAAATTACCAATATGCACCATGTTTTCGGGGGCGCTTTTTATGAAAATACTGTCGAATTTGAGATTGCGCCACCCCCTCCCCACCCCCATCAACTTTTTGTAACTTTTCGGATTTAATCCATATCAGGGTCGACTATTATGTTTTCGGGGGCGCTTTTTATGAAAATACGGTCGAATTTGAGATTGCGCCCCCCCCCCACCCTCTCACATCAACTTTTTGTAACTTTTCTGAAATAATCGATATCAGGGTCGAATATTATGTCTTCGGGGGTGCTAATTATAAAAATAATGTCGAATTTGATATTGCACCACCCCCTCCCCACCCCCCATCGACTTTTTGTAACTTTTCAGATATAATCGATATCAGGGTCGACTTTTATGTTTTCGGGGGCGCTTTTTATGAAAATACTGTCGAATTTGATATTGCACCACCCCCTCCCCACCCCCCATCGACTTTTTGTAACTTTTCAGATATAATCGATATCAGGGTCGACTTTTATGTTTTCGGGGGCGCTTTTTATGAAAATACTGTCGAATTTGATATTGCACCACCCCCTCCCCACCCCCATCGACTTTTTGTAACTTTTCAGATATAATCGATATCAGGGTCGACTATTATGTTTTCGGGGTAGCTTATTATGAAAATACTGTCGAATTTGAGATTGCGCCACCCCCTCCCCACCCCCCATCGACTTTTTGTAACTTTTCAGATATAATCGATATCAGGGTCGACTATTATGTTTTCGGGGGCGCTTTTTATGAAAATACTGTCGAATTTGATATTGCGCCACCCCTCCCCACCCTCACATCGACTTTTTGTAACTTTTCTGATATAATCGATATCAGGGTCGACTATTATGTTTTCGGGGCGCTTATTATGAAAATACTGTCGAATTTGATATTGCACCACCCCCTCCCCACCCCCATCGACTTTTTGTAACTTTTCAGATATAATCGATATCAGGGTCGACTTTTATGTTTTCGGGGGCGCTTTTTATGAAAATACTGTCGAATTTGATATTGCACCACCCCTCCCCACCCCCCATCGACTTTTTGTAACTTTTCAGATATAATCGATATCAGGGTCGACTTTTATGTTTTCGGGGGCGCTTTTTATGAAAATACTGTCGAATTTGATATTGCACAATCCCCTCCCCACTCCCCATCGACTTTTTGTAACTTTTCTGAAATAATTGATATCAGGGTCGATTATTATGTTTTCGGGGTAGCTTATTATGAAAATACGGTCGAATTTGAGATTGCGCCACCCCCTCCCCACCCCCCATCGACTTTTTGTAACTTTTCAGATATAATCGATATCAGGGTCGACTATTATGTTTTCGGGGTAGCTTATTATGAAAATATGGTCTAATTTGAGATTGCCCCCCCTCCTCCCCCCCAATCGACTTTTAGTAACTTTTCGGATATAATCGATATCAGGGTCGACTATTATGTTTTCGGGGTAGCTTATTATGAAAATATGGTCTAATTTGAGATTGCGCCCCCTCCTGCCCCCCCCCCAATAGACTTTTAGTAACCTTTCGGATTTAATTGATATCAGGGTCGCCTATTATGTTTTCAGGGTAGCTTATTACGAAAATTCGGTCGAATTTGAGATTGTGCCTCTCCCTCCCTCCCCAATCGACTTTTAGTGACTTTTCCGATGTAATCGATATCAGAGTGGTCTTTTTTTGTTCTCTATTTTGGGATATCTTTTTCAAATTCTACCGTATTTTCTTAATTAGCTACCCCGAAAACATATTAGTTGATCCTGGTATCGATTGAATCTGAAAAGATACAAAAAGCTGATGCGGGAGGGTGGGGGGGGCAATCTCAAATTTGACATTATTTTTATAACTAGCGCCCCCGTAAACATAATAGTCGACCCTGATATCGATTATATCTGAAAAGTTACAAAAAGTCGATGGGGGGTGGGGAGGGGGTGGCGCAATATCAAATTCGACAGTATTTTCATAAAAAGCGCCCCCGAAAACATAAAAGTCGACCCTGATATCGATTATATCTGAAAAGTTACAAAAAGTCGATGGGGGGTGGGAGGGGGTGGTGCAATATCGAATTCGACATTATTTTTATAATTAGCGCCCCCGAAGACATAATATTCGACCCTGATATCGATTATTTCAGAAAAGTTACAAAAAGTTGATGTGAGAGGGTGGGGGGGGGGCGCAATCTCAAATTTGACATTATTTTTATAACTAGCGCCCCCGAAAACATAATAGTCGACCCTGATATCGATTATATCTGAAAAGTTACAAAAAGTCGATGGGGGGTGGGGAGGGGGTGGTGCAATATCAAATTTGACAGTATTTTCATAAAAAGCGCCCCAGAAAACATAAAAGTCGACCCTGATATTGATTATATCTAAAAGTCGATCGGAATGATTATTTCAGGTTTCACATTATTCCTGAAATAATCATTTCAGATATCATTATTCCTGAAATAATTTATTCCCGAAATAATCATTTCGGAAATAATGGTCAGGTTATTTCATGAAATAAATTATTTCGGAAATAACTATCGAGGTTTATTTAGGGATTTATTCCGGGAATATTTTTCAAATAAATTCTGCCCAGGTCTAGTTTGATACAGCAAAATTTAGGATGATAAAGATAATTATTTTTTATTAAACTGTTAAATAAAAAAAAATGTTTTAGACAAAAATTTCAATACCATGGATGATAATTATCAAACGACAAAGATGACATCATCTGAGGTAAGTTTATATAGCGTACCCATATTGTTTTATGTATAACATTAAAGGTAGTCTTACACCTGTGATAACTTTGCTAATAGTATGAGTTATTCATATGTCACTAATATTTGCTAATAAAATTTGATTCCATTTAAACTAATTTTAAATTTAGCACAGTGAGTAAGGCTCTATACTCCTATTTTCAAGAAAGAGTTAGGTTTAAGTCTGACTGGCAGATAATTATTTATTCTATTTCATCTACCATGGGTCAATCCTAGGGTCAGGAGACCTTCCTAGGGCAGACTCAGCCTCTATGAAGTTGGTATCCTTAATTAATGAAATCAGGAACGAACCTGACAGTTAAGCATGATCCTGGCCAAATCACTTTCCTGCTCAACCATTGGCTTAGAAACACTATTTCACTATAATTTCTGTATCCAAGACCCTTCATGTGGTGTAGTGCTACCTTTTTTTTTTTTTTAATTTGTTTAATTAACATATTGCTATTAACAATGTTACGGGTAACATTTAAGTGTATACCCACCTTAGGATTTACTTGGTAATAAAAACGTACTATTTCGTTGATACTGTCCACTGCTACGGATAACAGTGATTGCTATCCTTTACTGCTTGTGGATATCTGAAGCTACTCGTGGTAGTAGTTGACTCCTCTTGCATTGATCATCTCAGTTTAAAATATTTAAAAATGAAAACTTCAGGCTTGAATTTAATAGTTTTCATTTGTGTTCCAAGGGAAAATATACATTCAGAGGCAGAGTTTTGATCTAATTTAATTAATACAAACAAATTAGTCTTGTATTTCAAGTTGAATAATAAGGCTAGGTTAATGCCCACCTTCTATGTAGAGATGGTTTCTTGTGATATTTTGAATAGAAAATATTAGCCTCATCATTGAAATAATGTGATGGAATATTATTTTAAGAATTGAAGGTGTATCTCTAATTTTTAATTTATTACTTATTATTAGTATGATCATTTCAGTAAATTGGATTTAGGTATATTTGAATCGCTTAAAGAAAATTTTTTAAATTATATCTAAAATTTATTTATTATTATTATTTTTATTATCACGAGGCTACAACTCGGTGACGAGTCTTGGCCTCCTCCACCAGCTTCCTTCAGTCATCTCTGTTCTGTACGGCCATCATCCAGCTCCTGACTCCCAGGACATCCCTTGAATCTCTTGCCACACTGTCTGACCATCTTAGTTTTGGTTTCCCCTCTTCTTTTTGTGCTGTAGAGATGTTTTGTCAGGATCATCCTGGGGATTGCTTCATTCTCCATCCTTGCCACATGGCCAGCCCATCTCAATCTTCCAAGCTTCATCCTCAGAACGACATCTTCATCATTAAAAGTTGAGCAAATTTTGGCATTTGTCCATCTTCTCCAATTTTCATCAATCTGTAACTAACTAACTCCATGGCGCTACAGACCGGTATGGTCCTTGGCTGCCTCAATGAGCCCTCGCCAGATGGCTCTATCTTGCGCAGTCGCTCGCCAGTTGCGGGTATGCAATACTTCTCTGGCATTCCGGATGACGTCGTCCTCCCATCTTAGATGTGGTCTGCCCTTCCATCGTGTCCTGCAGAGCTTCATATCAAGCAACTTCCTTGGGTCTTCCTCTTCTGGCATTCTGGTTGCATGGTCAGCCCAACATAGTCGTCACACATCTGTCTCCCCATACAGATCATATAGGTCCCTGTTAATCCTCCTTCTCCAATCATCACCGACCTTAACAGGTCCAAAGATACGTTGAAGGGTGGGCTTCCTTTCAAAGATTAGTAAATCTTTTTCTTCTTTGCTAGAAAGGGTTCAGCTTTCCAATCCATATGTGAGAACAAGCCTAATCAGGGTCTTATAAATGAGGCATTTTGTATGACGGGAGATGGTAGAGCTTTCAAGAAAGAACTAAGTTTAAGTCTGACTGGCAGATAATTATTTATTCTATTTCATCTACCATGGGTCAATCCTAGGGTCTCTGGAATTCCTCGCCACCAGGCTTGACAATCTCAGAAGGAATTCCTTCCTCCCCTGAGGCTTTGTTGTTGTTCAGCCTGTTGACTGCTTCAAGAACATCCTCACATGTCGGTGGGTCTGGGGTGTCCAGGTCATGCATAGCACTTGGGATTACAAAATCTTCCGGTCCATCTGCAGCCTCGTTTAGAAGTGCATCAAAGTGATGAGACCATCAGGCCAAGATCTACTCCTTCTCAGTGATCATGAAGCCTTCTTCATTTCGACATAATTGGACTCCGGGTTTGAATGATGTCTTACTCTCATTCACCACCTTGTAGAATGCCCTTGATTCATTCTGTCTCCTTTGCTCCTCCATCTTCTCTAGCTGTCGCCTTTCCCACTCTCTCTTCTTTCGTCTATGCAGTCTCTTCTCCTCCATCCTTCTGTCTCTATACTCCTGTGTGCCCCTTTTTGTTTGCCGCTTCTGAAGCATGTTTTTGTAGGCTTTGTTTTTTACATTCATATCATCTGCACACTCCGCATCAAACCACGGGGACCTAACTGCTCGTTCCTCTATGCCTACAACTTCCTTTGCTATTTCTTTAACGATTCAGGATAGGGTGTTCCACTGTTCTTCTGCAGAGCCCTGTGACAAGCCTGCACCTGTCACTCTTTCATCCAATTTTCAGCAGTAGCGTTCACTGACTTCTGGATCCTTAAGCCTGGATGTCGCTATTCTTTCTACATTCTTTCCCCTTGTTTTTCTTGCATTGGATATCCTGGCTCTGATCCTAGATATCACCAGATAGTGGTTGGTATCCATGTTGGCTCCTCGGTAGGAACTTATAAGATTGGATCTGTGCCTCCTACTGACCAGGATGTGATCTATTTGGTTCACAGTACTTCCGTCAGGAGAGCGCCATTGTGTCATTATCGAGACTGTGTATTCCAATAGTTGGTTTGAAGACTAGTTCCTTGCCAACCTTTGCATTAAAGTCTCCTATGATGATTTTCACATCATTTTTAGGGCAACTGTTGAGGTTTTTGTCTAACTGATCATAGAATGCCTCCTTCTCATCATCAGGAGACACTTCCATGGGTGCATAGAAGCTGAGGAATGTATAATTATTAAACCTGCCTTTCAAACCCAAAAGACATATTCTGGGACTTACAGATTCCTTGCTCTTCCCCTTACTACAAAGCCCATTCCAGAGACATGTAGATGCTCGTGGCTGCTATGGTCTATGGTGTGGAACCGTTTTTACAGAACTCCACTTCCTTTCCACCTCGCCTCCTGCAGAGCGACTAAGTCGAGGTTGTAGTTGTCAACTTGTTGTAGAAGTTGCCGCAGCAATCCCATTCTATACAGAGAGAAAATATTCCATTGTTAAGTCCTTTTGGTTAATCCTATGTTGTTTACTATTGATCTGTCCGGCTATTTCTCTTTGAGGGTTCATGATGTGGTTGATTTAAGGGGAGCGAGGTATCAGCCCGCTGCCCCCAAGTCAGGTGGAGAGACTGCCTCATCATAGCGCCCTGATAAGCTTCCCCATCCGGGGCGGCTACATAGGGGAGGTGACCCTAGGGTGTGTACTGTAATTGACCTTTGTCTGTAGTGTGGGGGTGTGTGAAGTGTGCTGTAGTTTAGAGTACTGTGTGTGTGTAGGTGTAGGTTCCCCCAACCTGGAGGGCCAGTGGCTGACTGCAGTCTAATGACTGGGCGATGGGGTCGTCACTTCCCGACACCGATTCCATCAATCTGTACTCCTCCAAATATTCTTTGAAGAATTTTTCTCTCAAAGATTAGGAGGTCTTGCTCAATTTTTTTAGTTGTCGTCCATGTTTCTGAAGCATAGAGCAGGACCGGGTAGATTAGTCTTTTATAGAGATGTAGCTTGTTATGCCAGGATAGAAGGCAAGAGGTGAATTCCTTGCAAAAGGTAAAGTAACACTTGTTAGCGATAAATATTCTTTCTTGACCTCGACCTCGGGTGCATTGTCTTGTGTTACCAGTGACCCCAAATACTTAAACTGCGCTACTTTCTCAAAGTTAAAGGGGCCAATATTGATGGTCTCGCCTGATCGAAGGACTTTTCCTGTGGCCATATATTTAGTTTTGCCTTCATTCACTTCTAACCCAAGTGCTCTGGCGGCCTCCAAAAAACCTAAAAATCCTTCTCTAACAGATTGCAACGACCCCCCCACGGTGTCCACATCAACCGCATAAGCTAATAACTGAACCATCCGGTTGTAAATTGTCTCACTGGTTTGCAGACCTGAATTCCTGACTGCCTTCTCAAGTGCCAAGTTAAACAGAAGACGTGCTAATGAGTCACCTTGGCGAAGTTCTTTTGTTGAGGAGAACTCCTCTGTCCTTTGACCACCTTCCTGCACAGTACACTTTACATCCCTCATGGTCATCTTCACCAATCTTATTAGCTTATCTGGGATATTGAAACCTTCAAGTGCCTTGTACAATTCTTCCCAGTTAATGCTATCGTAAGCTGCCTTAAAGTCAACGAAAAGATGGTGGGTTTTAAACTGATGTTCATTTCCTCTCTCTAGGATTGTTCTGAGGCAGAATATTTGGTCTGTTGTAGATCTTCCTTCTCTAAATCCACATTGTTAGGGACCAAGCTTCTACTCAGCAAAGGGTAGAAGACGCTGGAACAGGACATTGGATAATTACAGTCTCCAGCAATTATTTTCATGTCATACCTTGGGCACACAAGGGTTCGTTCGAGTTGTTCATAAAAGGCGTCCTTATCTTCCTCACTCGAAGTTTCTGTCGGAGCACACTAATAATACTATAATTATATAACTTCCCATGAATCCTTAGCACACTGATACGCGGGTTCACAGGCTTAAATCTAATGACCAGTTGCTCTCTAACAAATCCTATTCCATATTCATGGAAGATATTGCTGCAGCTATAGTATGTGGTGTGTCGTCTATTTTCAAGAGTATCATGACCAATCCATCCGATCCTCTGGATGGCAACTATATCCAGTTTGAAATAGTCAATTTAATCAAGAAGCAGTTTC